TTCAAAATAATCTAAATCATTTTACACCATAAATTTTATTTGTCTCTTTATAGTTAGAAAGAATCATTGGAGTTGCTCCTTAGCTTAGATCAGAATCTTAAACACAGTTTTGGTGGAAATTGTGGGGAATATCGTCGAAACCTTTTTAGAAAAGTCCTCTTTTCTCTTTATCTTCTTTTCTATAGCTCCACAAATTCGAGCAATCTTTTTTGATTTGATCTATAAATAGTTACTTCTTGATTCACCTCTATGGCTAAAAAGTCCATCACATCCGAATCTAGTTCCATTTGATGAAATGAAGTTTTGCTGCACGATTTCTCCATAACTCATAAATCTCTAATATAACTTCATCTTCCATCTTCTTCCAATGTACACGCACAATAATCTGTACGGATATTGCAATAGAACGATTTTGGAAAAGAGTAGTCATATCACAAAGTTTGAATCTCTTGAAATTGAAAATGAACAACCTTTCCAAATTTGCGAAGATAATTCTTAATTTGAATTGAAATATACTCTTGCAGCGTTTGCGAGGAAGTGACGGAACCTCCTTGCAATCCGTGCCCACCTGGAGAGCCAGGGCCTCCTGGACCACCAGGAGATGCAGGTAAGGCTGCCGGTTTGGAAAACGTTTGTAGCAGGCTCCTCAAGATGAAAAGCGACTATAGAAAGATTTGTCACGTTTTTCAGGAAGCCCAGGTCAACCGGGTCATCCCGGACGAAACGGGAACGATGGACCACCCGGGCCACAAGGTAAACCAAACTCGAAAGGTTTAAACGGCTTTTTTGAAATGGCCATAATTTTTAGGACCTCCTGGACCTCCTGGACCACCTGGCGAGAATGGAAGAGATGGACCCAGAGGAGAACCGGGTCGACCTGCCTTCAGGTGAGCTTTAGTGCTATTTTTAGTGAGCTTGTTAGAAAAATATTTTTTTAGCACGCCGGCTATTCCCGGCGATCCAGGTGCTCCCGGGGAGCCGGGACCACCCGGACTTCCCGGAGAAGCTGGACAAAGCGGTCGCCCAGGATCAGACGGACTACCAGGACCACAGGGACCACCCGGTCCACCAGGACCACAAGGACCACCAGGAGAGATTGGACCACCAGGACAACCCGGACAACCAGGACCACAAGGAGAACGAGGTAAATTTTTGATTTATAGTCCGGGAGAAATCAGAAGAAAAATTTCTTCAGGTA